TTCTCTTTTTTTTTTTTTTTTCTTCTTCTTCTTTTTTCTATTAAAATACATCTATTTTCTTTCGCTAAGGATTTTTAGACATAAAAAAAATCAAGCTAATATTTGCTTCTCTGAAGTTTTCTGATTGGAGGAACAAATCCTTAAAAGTTTTCAGCAATTCTCAATCTACAACTTTGAAGATCACCCAGTACAAAAATAAATTGAATGGTAATTTTAACCATTATAAATGTTTGCGGCACTTAATTTAGTTAGGTGCTGGCTTTCCATTTTTGATTACACCATAAGGAAGTTATTTTACTAAGAAATGTTAAGATAAATTATAGGCATTCCCACACATTCTTTATTTTATTTTTTTTTTTTTTCTGGCATGTATTTATTAGAGTCTACTCAATCTATTTCAATTTCTAGGTAACGTGTAATCACTGGAGCCATTTTTTTTTTTTTCCCCAGCAACATGTTTGCAAGGTAGAACCAGACTGCGAAGATGTAGGTCCTGCTTATCTGTATGTGACCTTCAACGCCAGCAACTATACATTTAAATATTTCTTACTATCTCTGATCGAGTTCCCAGAAGCAAACCCACTGCGTTTAACGTTTGCGAAGGTAGAAATGGAACTAGCTTTAGCAACGCTAATAGATGTTGAGATACTGTGTGAGCTGTAACTTCTGTCAGAGGCTGTGCTTTTTGATAACGGTAATTCTTAAGATGTGAAGGTAGAGCTGTTAAACCTCATGCGTCAACGGACCAGTCACCTGAAGGGTGGTTTGAAGGGCTGGTGCCTAGAGAAAATAAATGCATTTGCTTAGAAAGAACAAATAAAGTTAGCAGATTAGAGGCTTAAACTGCTTTGTAAACTCTTGCATCCACTTGAGAGGTAGGAATGAATGTGCTCCTCTCAGTCCTAACTTCAGGTCTGGCTCTGCTGCGGTTTTGGCCGTTCGGGTTTGTGGGGGATGTTTTCTTCTCCAGAACGGAACACTAGATCCCTCCTATGGGGAATTTACCAGCTGACAGTTCAAGACGAGGTTCAGGTTGTCACTCCCACTCCCCAATTATTGTGTCTAGTTTGGAAAAGCAAATTTTTAAGCAACAGGACTGCTTTTTGAAATCCACCATAGTGCAGATGTTTATGTACAGCTTAACCCTTCAAATTAATTCCTAGGCTCTTTCTTTAATGCAGAGGCCAAGCAGCTGAGTTCCAGCTTGGCATTTCTGGCAAACACAGCTGAAGATGCTGAAGACCCTGGAGCAATAAAGGGGTTTGCTCTTCAGGGACTAATCTGGTTTAACCCCTAGAGAAGCTTTTGTGCCGCTCTCTCCTCAGACTACCTGGAGGAGGAAGAGCTGACAGTGGATCCCAGCCCAGTGACTCACCCAATAACTTTTCCTGAATGATATCCACGTTGCACAGAGATCAAAGTGAGTGCTTGGGCAAACTTACATATGGGAAGGGGGTGGAGGAGAACAAGGCTCAGATGGGGATTGCAATCTCAGAGGCTTACTTTTTGGGGATGAAAATGGTTGTAAGCCCAACCAGAGTCAAGCACTCATAGAAGCTAGAGTGTCTTTTAGAGCTATAAAAATTGGTTCGCTACCAAAATGCTCAGCTATTTGCTGATGACAGCACGGGAGCAGCGTGTGCAGGCAGGTGTGGTGATCCCTGGTGCTGGCCAGCATCTAGCCATGGTGGATTTAGCCAGTTCCTACTCTGTTGCCGATAACCCACACAACACCAGAAACAAACTTCAGTCAGAGGCTTTTACCCAAGGCTGGGAAATCCCCTGCAAAGCCTCCTGTGTTCAAAAAACCCCTTGCAGCACCACCCACTGCCCTCCACTAGTATCCTAGATGAAGATAAAGGACAAAACCCCCCACAGCTTGTCACCGTCTTTTAACCAGAGTAAATTAACAGCATACTTCCCTTTTCAATGCCTTTTGATGTGCTAATTATCATTCAGCCAGATGCAGCCACCTTACCCTTGCAGGGTACCTAATGTGTCCAAGCACAAGTTGAACTGAAAGTCAATTGGATTTCAGCTTCCAAAGGCACCTTGGGGTGATGCAGAGCCAGGGGTGGGCGATGCTGCCGGATGGGAGGGCAAACTGCCTTGGGGTGCCTCAGTTTCCCCACTGATGGAAGGTGCTTGGCAGCTTTCTTATCCTCTGACTTGTTGAGGTGAGTTTCTGCCTAAGGTTTGAGTTACTACCACTGGCTTCTGGGAGCATCAAGCTGGTGATGAAAAGGCAGGTCTGTTTTTTCCTAAAATGCTACTCTCGCAGTCCCTTCAAGTGGGATTTCCACCTCCCCTTCCCAAGTCCTTCCCACAGGGGACTTTTAATGATCATGGCAATGAAGCTGGCCTGGCAGAGCTCTCACACATCCTTGGGTCCCAGCATGAGAGTGAGACTCAGCTGTGAGCCCTATCCAGACTACAGCAGAAATGGAAACCATCACCTAAATTCTCTTTTCTGGCTGAATTGTTCTTTTTTTGGCCTTATTTTAAAATCCCTTTGCCCAGAGCAGAATTAACGACAGGCCTTGTTAATGAAGGGATCAGCAACATCTTCCCTGATGGCATTAAAACCTCCTACCTGGCAAATTAGTCCTCCCGCTAACCTTCTTATCCTCTTACAAAATGTTGGAACTTGTTAGTGGTTTGTTACTTGCACTGATGCTCTTTGGCAGTAATTAGAGAACTGCTGAGGAGGCAGAGCTCAGGTTTGGACTCAGATTTAGCTGGAGATTTTAGAGGAGTTGCCTGGCCACTGAATCTGAGCCAGGACTTGCATTTCAATAGGATGAAAGGCAGCGAGTACTTGCTGTGGGATTTTTGCCAAAGTTGAACCAGCTCTTCTCTCTGAATCAATGTCCCCATCCGTACCAGAACAGGGTGCGAGTAAAAATTGAAAGGAAACACGTCTGCTCCATTTAGCGTCTGTCATTGCATCTCTGTTGAACTTGGTAGCTGTGGCTTGAGAGGTGATGGACCTCTCCTTTGGTGCCACTCTGCTCACCTAGTGGAGGGCACCGTCCCATAGCAGCTGAAGGACGTAAGGAATCTCCTCTCCTCAGCCGGTTGGTACCAAGCCACCAACTCAGGCAGCTGCTGGTGGTGGTCTTTAGCTCAGTTTTGGGATAGTGGACAGGGAGTGACCAAAATGTGCAGTTCAGGCTTACGAGAGGAGAATCCCCCTTTTCAATCATTGCCTGCTTGATGTCTGCCCAGGGACACAGCTATGGTGCTTTACCAAATCTCTCTGCCGAGCAGAGCCATGTGGCTGGTGTAGGCATCCATCAGTACAGAAGCCACCAGGCACTGAGCCTGATGAGTTGGAGGGTGTTCAGCAGGAAGCATGTTGTTTATACCAGGAAACAGCAAATAGCGATGGCTCATTTTGGAGCAGAGTAAGGTCCCTCCAGACCTATGGAGGTGGCAGCTTGAGGCTCTGCAACATGCTTTCTGCAGAGACCCATTGTCGGAATGAGTTGCTGGATGTGGTGGGAACGGCTGAGGTGGAGATCTTTGTCCTGGGGAGGAAGAAGGAGCCCTTTTTACCTCTCTGTTCCCAAGCCTGGCAGGGACCACCATGTTGTGGCTCCCCTCCCAGCTTCCTTCCCCCTGTCCCAGCCACAAGGCCTGGGGGTTGGGCTGGAAGGACATCTTATCTTGTTTATATAATGCAAGTGCTGGAGGGTCAGCTCATTTCCTTGGCAAAATGTTCTCACGCTGGGGGCACACCTCCTCTGCAAGAAGCAGAGTGCTTGCAGTTTAGGCTGGTCTCTTTGGCGGGGGAGGAAGAGAAAATTGGCACACTATAAAGCAGAGAGTTGCAACTCTTGGACACCCGGCTATAACCAGGAAGCATGGCTGTGTGTGCCAGGACAGCTCGGGAGCACCCTGAAGCTGGGGGCTCTTACCTCTGCAGAGGCACCCCACTTTCTTCCAGTATAAGGGCT